ATTATTACTACTATGATTGTTGTTATCATTGTTCTTATTATTGATATTTTTATTTTAGTTACTTTTTATGTTTTTGTTGGTAATTGTTAGTTTATAGACTGTTTTTGTTTTTGTCATAGCTCTGGCCAGTCATTTGACGTGGCTCCAGCGTGGGAAGAAGCGCCCCAGTTGTCCCACTTGATAAAAAGTTTAGAATTTGTTTTGTCAGCTGGCGTGGAAACTGGTCATATTTAACCTAACATGAAACCAGGTCATTTTATTGAGCTGCGGAGCGGACGTTAACCCCCATGGTGTAGTGTAGGAGGAAGCTGGGGCAGAACTGTTAAAGATGAAATAATGTACCTGTATCTGTACCTGTCGACCTGTACCTGTTAACCTGCATCTGTTAACCTGTACCTGTTAACCTGTACCTGTTGACATGCACCTGATGTGACCTACACTAGTTGACCTACACCTGTACCTATTGTGTCATTCTAACTTGGGCAGATGAAATGACGAAGTTATAAAGCACTCTTGTCGTGAGCTGTGTTTTGATCGTTCATGTAAACATCAGAATTTAAGATGCACACACACACACACACACACACACACACACACACACACACACACACACACACACACACACACCACACACACACACACACACACAGAGTAACATTAATGGCACATAAAACAGCTTAAGTTATGATGCCATGGGTAGTTTTATGGAAGTATATAAAAACGGTTCGGGAAATGGAGGCGCAGCACAGGTGGGCGTGTCTGAGCCAGGTGCAGTTTGATCTGGTAAATGGACGCAAACATTAAACACGTCGTAACATGTTGATTGAGTTGCGTATCAGCGTATAGTGTTTTCTTCCTCCGAGGTTACGGTGAGTGAGCTCCGTGTTGTAAAAAGCTGTGTGTTGTGGTGGTGTTGAGTCTTATTAAAAGTATTAGCGTATACGAAAGTTCACTCGGTAAGAAATATCTTGGGTATAAATGAAGTTGTATTCAATTATATGTATATTATTTCTTATTGTGCTTACAGTAACACACTAGGACGAGGTGTTTCCACTTGGGCGTGGATACTTATACAAATGTTCCTCTATACATACATCCAGTACATTGGCAGGGATCACCGCGGAAACTAATCAAGCTCTGTTGCGAAATGTATTGAGGTAACGGCATGTGTAAACTATTAAACAAAGTTAACCAATCGCACAGTATTTATTACTTGCTAAACCAATGTGGCAACTGATACTTTGTAAATACAGGTTAATTACCCGCTTTTATCGTTTGTTATTACCAATAAATCTACAGACTGCAGTAATCACGAAGACAGTTAAGTGATTGTATGAATTTTGAAGCATTGCGGAGGAGAATTTTACTCCGGTGATAGAGAGTCGAGTGTGGTGGGGTAAAACTCTCTCCTGACCATCCCACGCGATTACATACAACCCCATGATGTGATGTGATGGCAGCTCCAAGTCTAGTTCCACCGTGGCGTTGAACTCTTAGGTCCTTACCACTCAAACCTCGCCAACATGAGCAACCAAAAGTCTGGCGTTCCTACTCGACCCCCCATTATAGCATGCTCATGGGAACTATCGCCAGACGAAACACCCTTCTTCGTCATGCACTGGGACTCCTCTTTGTTACGAGCATTAGTATTGACCGGAGACCACCCACGGAGGAGAGTGTAGACGCTGTCAGTGGCTTTGATTCGAGTGACGTTTGTGACGCAACGCACTTGTTAAAAATGGATACATTTTGTTTTGAAGTCATTACATGGTGGAAATTGGGCCATACTAATCTCTGGACCTGGAACCTGACACATTTTTTTTTTTAATCACTACAACTACAGCCTTGGTTCGGTTACTTTAGGAGGATAGGTCACGTTTGGGGTTTGTTAGCTTAAGTTAGCTTGGGATAAGTTAGGAGTTGGTTAGGTCATCATAGGTGTTAGTTAGGCTGCTGGGTTTGGTTATATGGGTTGGTGAGGTTAGGGATTGAAGAGTTGGTCAGGTCATCTTAGATATTGGTTCGCTTTATCGGCTGTTAGGCTGGTGAGGTTAGGTTAGTTTAAGTTAGGTTAGGTTAGGTTTCATGAGGCCCTGGGTTTGGTCAGAGCGAGTCCCGTGGTAATTCGCCAATTTTAATACTTGTATGACCAGGTTCGTTCACCCCTTAATATCCCAGGAATGTTGCAGCCAGCATTATCTGGACCTAGGCCCTCAGGCTCAGTGAGGGAAACTTAACTTTTATTGTAACTATATGTCTGAAATTTCGTACCAGTCTAGGGTGGGTGGTGGATGTTCTCTTAGTTCTCGTTGAATGTGTGTATAGGAGGGAAAGAGTCGAGTCCTCATACCTTACCGTACTGCGTAATACTGGAGTTGACACTATTATGACGACTGACTACTGATATTACTACTACTAAGACGAATGACGACTGATATTACTACTACTACTACGACGACTGACTACTGATATTACTACTACTACGACGAATGACTACTGATATTATTACTACGACTACTACTTATGATGATAATGATAGGGAAAGTTGCTTTACTATCAGACGGAATAACAGGTTTTATCATATAATTCGTGATATGACAACTTATCACCGTTATTAGTGGGATCTAATAATAACAATAATCATAACACTGTAGGTTTTATTGCTCAAGAAGGTCTATGTGAAGGAACTAAATTATATACGCGTTGTTTATCGTCACACTAAGATGACTCCCTGAAGATAAATTACAAACCTGCTGAGGCAGTGAAACAGACCATGAAAAACACCAACTTTATATTCCATCTCGGTAAAGTAAATTGAAAAGTTTGGGTACGTCGTCAGATGGCGTAGCTAGAGCGGTAGTTAGCTGGAGTCCAGATTTTTTTTAGCTTCCTTGGAGATCAGACCATGCACCTGTTTATGGTTTTAGTCTCGATATCCACGTTATTTTGGCCGCCCCATCTCTAGCTCATAGCTCTAATTAGTTTCCTTTTCTTTATTTTTTATTTATTTATTTATTTTTTGCTTTCTCGGCTCGTGAAAAATGTATTCATCTTATCGGCACGACCTCCTTGTTCATCTAACTTTGGTTTTGTGTCAAGGTTTCTGTGAGCGACCTTGATGAGTTGTCACTCTACAGTTAGGGGAAACTTTATTGTGAGAACATAATTATGAGAATTTGTTTACTGTATGTGTCTTGGCGTCAGTCATCCACTTTGATGCATTGATTGCCTTGCCACTCGGCGGAATTTTCCTTATGAATCTGAGAATCCGGTTCCTGGTGGACAATAGATACTATTGTTCGTTTTACGATACGGAGGTGGCGTGTTGGGGTAGTATGTCTCACGGTCACGCTTGGCTCTTGTTGTTAACTCCCTCACATATCTCTTTCTTTCTTCCACAACTTTTTATGTCCTAAGTGAAAATTGTCTCCGTGACGTATATTGTAGAGAGAGAGAGAGAGAGAGAGATTTCTAATGCGATGGTTTAACATTACACAAATGTGAGGTACACTCACTAAAAGATTATTGTGCACCTTTATGGGGTTATACAATATGACGCACCGGGCCAAGAAATCTGAATACACTCATCACGGCTTCTGTCGCAGTGATCGTTGCGGATGGTTTCAGAGCCAAGGCTGCAGAATATTTTTTTTAGTGAGTGTACATGAACATAGACAGTGGTGCCAGCGGCCCACTGTAAAGGCCTTAGGCTGGGCTTGGTGCCCCGGAATACCATTATACATTGGTCACTGTCTGGCCTCACCCTCACGCGACGTCTTGGCCTCACCTCCGTCCTCATCAGTTGAAGCAAGGTGTTCCCGATCCACTGACACGTTTTCTGGTTGTTGTTATTACGAGTGACCCTGGGTGCCCTCAAGGCTGGCAGTGTGAGACGCCATTCTTCTGAGGGAGGTTACCGCAACCAGGAGCACCCGCCGGGGAGAGGGAGTGGGTGGGCTTAGGGAATGCGGTAATGGGGATGAGGTTAGCTATATGGAGAGTTAAGTGTGGGGGGATTGAAGGCTGGCAATGGCTACTACTGTAAAGGATTTTGGTATGTGAATCTTTGTCTGTTTGTCCATGGCCCGGTCACCGTGGCATGCTGGCACCATTGGCTGCTCCCCAACATTGCTGTTGATACACCACTATAACAGCCAGGTGTGTTATAGAGGTCGCCACGCCGTGCTAGATCCAATGGCACAGATGCTCTAGAACCTTTAGTTATTTAAGAGACGACTGGTCCCCTCTGTACACCTTATTTAAGACCTAGTAGGTGTTGACGTTTGGCGTGACAATGTTTACCTCGACGTAATAAAGTGCTAACAAGAACCTGTTTTACCGCGAGGGAGCTGGGTAAGGGGCTGTGTTTGTGAGTGGAACGTGTGGAGGTAATTCTCTCCCTCCCGGCCTCACACCCACTCCCAGGGGAGAACATCAACATACCTTCATCCTTGAGGTATATTTATCCTTGAGCGTCTGTGCTCATCGTTGTCATTGAGCATTTTGGTTCTTATTTATGAACATATGCACGCTTGATAGCCCTCATGTGTGAAGGTCAACCTGTCCAGTGTAGAGCCTAAAGTTTACTCACAAATATCAACAAGTAGGTAAGCCTGCAGAATTATTTGCAGTATAAAGTACGGGCACTACACAGGAAGATCCAAACGGTAACCTCATCACCATAAACTTTTATACAAATAAAGATTAAGAGTGAGTGGGGGTTATAGAGGCGACGCTCTAACCTTGAAATTAATAGACTTGTTTCTAAAAATTAATTAACTTAGTCATATACACACACACATACACACACACACACACACACACACACACACACACACACACACACACACACACACACACACTCTGCATATCAAAGACTTGGCAGGTTGGTATCATGTTACTTTTAAGATTGTCAAAAATAGTTGTTTTTCTAAACTGTTCTCCTCTGACACTGTGAAGACTTTTATACTGACAATTGTTTTGTTTTGTTTTGTTTACAGGTGAGGCTGTGGCGTGGAGGTGTGAGGTTCTGTGCTGAGGGGTGAGGTACAGTGTGTTACAGTACAATGGTCCCTGCGGTACAATACTTGTTCTATGATACAGTTGATAACAAACTAGTCCTTCATTGCTGTTTGGTACAATAGTTTCTTTACGGCACCGTGTGGTACAGTATAGTCTGTAGGGTACACCAGGGTACAATAAATCCATCCAAAAGTAGTGTTTTCTACGTTCCTTCCTTGTTTAGTTGCTCTCCCTGCACCACCAGTCTCCTCTTTCCTTCTCTCACATAACCAGATCGCTTACCTTATCTTGTCTTTCTTCCTTTACATCGATATTTCTTAAGCCGTCACTCCATTTACAGTTCCCTTTACGTCTCCCTTTCTTCCTCCCCTCTCCTCTTTATCAGATTTGCATTTTTGTGAATCTGTCGTGAAATAAGGAAGCTTTAAATTGGCTAAAGACCTTCTGGATAACCGCAGGAGGGAGGGAAGGGGGGGGGGATGAGGTAGGTACGAGGAAATATAAAGAAAGCTGAATCTACGGTGCACTGATGAACGCCTGACGAACACTGCTACAGAATATGAGTTTTCTGTGGTAAAATTTGATGCTACAGAGTCCTATTTTCGACCCTGTTTCTCCCCATGTGGTGACGGGGTAGATGGTGGTGGTGTGAGAGAGTATGTTTTGAAAGTAAGGGTAGTGTTGGAGGTAGTGGTGGCGTTGGAGGTAGTGGTGGCGTTGGAGGTAGTGGTAGCTTTAGAGGTATTGGTGGCGTTGGAGGTAGTGGTGGCGTTGGAGGTAGTGGTGGCGTTGGATGTTAAGTCAGCTTAAAGGGGTGACCACCTTGACTGCCGTTCAGAAGGAAAAATGGTTCTTGCAGGCACATGCGGTCAGAATTGGACGTTGGTGTACACTTTGCATAGTATGAACATTTCAGAATTTGGCAAAAAAAAAAAAGGTTGCTATTTTTTTCTCCTACGTTCTCGAAAATTCAGTAAAGCTTTGCCGGCACCTTTTCTGGGGGGTGTGGATCCTCAGTGTTGGTAATGTGGTGATTTAATGGTGGAAGGTTGATTATGTTGTTGTGGTGAGGGGGAAAAGCAGCAGGTGGTGGTGGAGTAATGATGGAAGGGCTGGCTGCCGGCCTCCGTGGGGGTGAAGGCTTTGTCAATAATGTTACAAAGGGAAGCGTTTAGTCAGCGTAATGAGCTGATTCCAGAGAAGATGTAGAGAGGCAGATGGGAGGTCGTCTGGGTGAATTGCTGAGTGGGTGAGGGTTGTTCAGTGGGTGAGGGGTTGTTCAGTGGGTGAGGGTTGTTCAGTGGGGTGAGGGGTTGTTCAGTGGGTGAGGGGTTGTTCAGTGGGTGAGGGGGTTGTTCAGTGGGTGAGGGGGTTGTTCAGTGGGTGAGGGGGTTGTTCAGTGGGTGAGGGGGTTGTTCAGTGGGTGAGGGAGGTGTTAAGTGGGTGGGTGATTGAGTGGTTCAGTTAGTAGATGAATAAGTGAGTATAGTTTAATGAATGAACGAGTCAAGTAGTTCACTTTATCAGGGAGTTGATGAGTACGACGCATCTATACCAGTACCACCTTTATTTACCTCATCATTGTCTCGTTCAGGTAAGATGATAATCCCCAGTTCCTTGTACATCCTTTCGTCAGTCATTGAAAGATCCTATCCTATACTGCATTGGAAGACATTTCATTTCAGTAGAGGGCCGGGGTATAGACTAAAGCGGAGGTGGAGGACAGGGGGGAGCAGACACCAACAGAAAGAGCCTGAGGAGATGTACGGTAGATGGGTGCAGGTAGAGAGCATACACAAACAGGGAGACCCAATGTAAACTAGAGTGGAGATGGACACAAACAAGAGAGGACCCGGGTTAGAGGTGGTGGTGCGGCAACACGTCGCCACACGCTGCTACTGAAACTATTCTGCCTTATTGACAACCCCGTGGGGGGGACGCACTGCTGATAGTCTCCTTCCCACCACGCCTCCCGCTGCTGTGCATGTTAGGCCAGGTTATGTTTTATATGCTGGTTGTTACCATTGATGTTGGAGCTTGGAACCTTGTTAGGAGAGACCTTGTTTGGTTTACTAGCCCCTCCATTGGTCGTGAGACCGTGCTAGGAGGGAACTGTTGTATATTCTGGCCCTAACTATTAATAGTCACATTTCTTGAGAGGGTTTACATTTTTTAAAGAGGGTACAGTATGTAATAGACTATACAGAAGTTATATCTTGAGCAATGACAAAAAAATAATAGTTTTCTCTTGCATATGCTAACTGAAAAATATTCTGAGAACTTAAGAACTTCACTGTTAATATTATTTCTTAACGACTCTTAGTTTAAAAATGTTGTCGATGTACCATAAGAGGTGGTAAAATGTGGTGCCATGAGTCTATATAAAAGATAATAAGAATATTTGTTAAGGTGTGTACTGACAATAATTACAAGTAAGAAGGTCGGGCAGTGACAGCAAAACAACGTGGAGGAGACCAAGGTTAGGCGTGTTGGCTGCCAGCTCAGGGTGTCGGGTGGAGTGGTCCCTGGGGGCTTGTTGCAGGCGTAGAGTGGGAGCCGCTCGTAGGGTGCCTGCCTCCGCATATTGGGAACACGATTTATTAGTTTCCGGGACACGGGTAATTGGTGCGCCAGGCAGACCAGTCGGCATGGATGGGGGTGGATAAAACCCTTTTAGTGGGTCGAAGCTCCGTTAAGACAACATTGGGAACAAATGTCGGTACACCAGGAGGAAGGGACACAGTATTTATGACCCAGATGAAGGTGAGGAACTTAATCCATCAGTTGACATGTCTTAAATAAACTTAGAGGTGGAATTTAGAAATACCAAGTTGGATAAAAGTGTGTTTGTGTGTATGACTTAAAGCTTTCGGGGGAGACAGGAGCACTTGTGATATACAGGTATTAGCCATAATGCACATACTAACTTGGTCTTGTTAGTGGATCACGGTAGCATTTCAAAATAAAGCAAAAACATGGAGCGATATCACAGGTCTAGATACGAAACTGCCACCGTGGGGAAATACATGTTTCTGAATAATTGGTTCTATCAGAAGTATGTGACCAGACTACAGTGTTGGTTTACCGTACCGTCATTCTTCGTACCTTCACCACCATTGAGGAACTACAAAGATGTATGTGTGTGTGTGTGTGTGTGTGTGTGTGTGTGTGTGTGTGTTCTGCCCCTGGGACACTCCACCATCACCCCCGCCACCACCACTTTCCTAACGGCCCGGTAACACCATCACCACCACCAGCACGTTGAACCCCGCTCTCACCTCCGACCACCTTCGCTCCATGTGTTCTCTCACCTCTTCTACCCGTAACCCTTCCCTTCGCTTCCCTTCTCCTGCGATTCTGTCTTCTCCCGGTTTCCATTCTCCGTTTCCCTTCACCTCGCCCATCTCTTCCTGTGTCCTCCTTAAACCCCGCTATCTCCCATATCCCAATAACACTCATTTCCCGCTTCCCATGCCCTACTTTATCCATCCCTTGCCCTACTTCCTTTTCCTCTTATTCTGCTTCATCATATCCTCTTGTCCTACTTCCCTCCGCTTTGTCCATCATTGTCCCTTATATCTTCTCTTATCTACATTTTGTGTATGTGTGTGTGTGTGTGTTACATTACTTCCTACTTCTCTCACTCCCCACTTGTTCCTCTCCTTCCCTCTCTACCTGTACCTAACTCACCACCACGTCAGCCATCTGTTATCGCCTTCCGTGTCTCTCTCTCTCTCTCCAAACGTCAAGAAGGAAGAAAACAAAATTCCCCCAAGTTGAATGACACAAACGCGGACAAAATACAATAAGCTCAAATCGGTCACTCACCTCCACACGGCCCCCATAAAACTTGCACTGCGGGGGAAAAATGTTACTAGATAAAATGTTGAATGTAAGAGCGGAAATAATAATTATTATATCTAGACGGAGGAACTCGGGAGGGGGGGGGGTTACGTAAAGGTAGAGACGGAGGTAGAATTTAACCCTCAGAATCTACCCGATGGGGAGTTTTGTTGTGTGTATCTACCTCGACTTTTGTTCATTCTTCATGTTGTGTGTTTTTAATTGACCTGTCACGCGAATTGTCTCACTCTATGTGAACTGGTGATTACTTTGTCTCTCATCTAACAAGGTCTTGACGATGGAGAGATTTATTATTGCTTCATGACGCTGCTGTAACAAAGGAACTCGGTGTTGTTATGATGTTTGTGTTCTCCCTCGTGGTAGTTCTGTTCTAAATATATATACTGTATATCTTTTTTTACTGATCACCTGACGATTGGGCACCCAGGATTATTTCCCCTGATTTAAACACTACTGATTTAAACGCTACTTTTCCTACCTTATGGAGAGAGGGGGTAACTTAGGTCAGATTCGGTGAGGTTAGGTTAGTTTTCGGGTAGGTTAGCGTTAGGATGTTTAATCAACCAGGGAAGTAATCCGGGGTGCCTAATCTCTGGTGATCCAGTTCTATTTATAAAACCGGTTAACTTGAGTATTTTATTTGGTGCTATGAACGATGTTGTTGACACTATTTAACACGTGGCTCAGAAAAAATGTACAGCAACACACACACACACACACACACACATGCACTAACTATAGGAAACCACAGTTGTCTGGGAAATGATGGTGATTAATGTCGCGTTGTTGGGCGTTTTTGCGGGGGTCCTGCCGTGCGTTGCTCCTCGAACAGACGTGTTCTTAGGCGGGGAGATGATGTGGGTAATTCAATGTACCGTAAGTGTATACCTTACCTGTGCCCGGATTACCAGAGGTTCATGCTTTGATATTTCCTCCTCCTCCTCCTCCGTTCATGTTCCTAAAATGGTGATGAGAGAACTGGTGCAGCTGACTCACTTCAGCTGTGACACAAGAAGGACAGTCTCCAGCGGATGCAAACTTTCGTCACTTTTAAGGTTACTGAGCTTAACGCAACCGGAGGACGACGACGCAGGGAGGTGGTGGTGCAGGTAGGAGAGTAGGTATGTGGTGCAGGTAGGTGGGAGTGGTGGTGCAGGTAGGTGGGAGTG